ACTATGAAGAAAATTCAAGGAAAAATCTCTCATATTATCTCCTATATCGAATTGTTTGGACTTTTTTTCAGTCACGTGCAATCTCTTTATACAATCGGTTTGCTTATTTATGTGTCATGTATTCTAGCTGAAGCTTCTACTAAAACAAACAATAAGAAGCATACTTACAGTATATTTTAATCTGCATTGAAAATATTAAGTGATGACAAGATCAAACACTGAGTACACAAAGTTCATTTTCGTATGACACGTAAGCTACTGTCTTTGGATTCACTGAGTACACAAAGTTCATTTTTGTATGACACATAAGCTGCTGTCTGTGGATTCACTGAGTACACAAAGTTCATTTTTGTATGACACATAAGCTACTGTCTGTGGATTTCTTTATATAATTTCTCTCATTAATATATATATTTTGATTGGATCCATAGATAACGATTGTACAACTTTCCATTTAGAAACAAAGAAATAAATCCAAAAATAAATAAAAGGTTTCATTTTCTATATCTATGTACAATTTTCTCCTAACCTTAATAAAACGTAAATCACAATGAGCAAAGAGAAATAATTTTCAGCACCTACTTCACGAACATAGTAAGACAAGTAACTAGCAGATGCCCATTGAAACAGTTCAATGATAATTTTCCTAAAAATAGTGATTAATAAATATAAAATTTGCATTCAACCCAATCCCTTGGACTACAGTGCATATGCAATATGATTGTCTAAGTGGCCGTTTACAACCGTATTTTGTCATTCCATGTGTTATTTCAATAACGAAATTTGCATTGAGTTTGTTTTTAAGCAAAGAAGACTGAATCAGTCCATTGTTGGCAAAATCTTTGGTTTTCGATGCAATGGGTGCATCCAGCACATTAGCTCACTCAGCTTCGCCAAGCAGTCGCTAGGAGTTTTTCTGCTGGATGTCACATTTCCTTGTCATTTTACTGAGCGCAAGGAAAGATCGTTATGGACGTGAGTGCTTTTTGACAGATGTCATTTCTATAAGAGGTGTCAATGAGAAGACATTCAATTCAATTCAAATTCATTTATTCGACATGGTACAACAAAATCACGTGTTTATATAATAGCGACATGAAAAAAGAAAATAAAACAAATATATAAAAACAGAATTACAACAAATATATATTCAAACACGTTCCTCTGTTTATGCGTTTTTTCCGATTATGCTCCTATTTTTAAAATATTTCTTTCAATCAGTCAACGGAAGAAGTCCCGTTTTTTTTTCGTGAAATTCCCTCAAAAAATTTTCTTTTGTTCTTAATAAGTTTTTCTTCTCAAATTGACCAATTAGCACACACGAAGACTGACGAATCGATGTTGATATGAATATGAAATTTTAAGTAATTGCAAAACAATTAATAATTTGCATGTAATGTACTCTTTAAAAGAAGCATTTATATGTATATATATATGTGAGTTTGTGTATATATATATATATACATATATTTCTACGATTAACTTTTCAAAAGATACTGAGCATGACAGGCAGACATTCAGCTATTATATATATATATATATATATAGATAAGCAAACCGATCATACAAAGAGCTTGTACATGAGTGAAAAAAGTCCAAAGAATTTGATATGGGCTTAAAAGTATTCTGTGGTTTGATTAGCATTTGCCGTATAAGTTTACTTTTAACTAGTGGGCTTTGAATTCTAATGTTATATATGAGAGTTGCCTAACAGTCTTTGTTGACAGTTATGTATGATAAATAAGAAAGTGTTCATAGTGTTTAGTTTATGCCTGACAGTTCTGTAGGATAAATAAGAAAGTGTTCATAGTGTTTAGTTTATGCCTGACAGTTCTGTAGGATAAATAAGAAAGTGTTCATAGTGTTTAGTTTATGCCTGACAGTTATGGTGGTCATAGTGTTTAGTTTATGCCTGACAGTTATGTATGATAAATAAGAAAGTGTTGACAGTGTTTAGTTTATGCCTGACAGTTATGTAGGATAAATAAGAAAGTGTTCATAGTGTTTAGTTTATGCCTGACAGTTATGTAGGATAAATAAGAATGTGGTCATAGTGTTTAGTTTATGCCTGACAGTTATGTAGGATAAATAAGAATGTTTTTATCTCAGATTCAGAAGAATACGCAATATGATAACTAGAGTAGTACGAACAAATCTGTTTATATATATTTTTATGTTTCTAAGCCTACATTTTATTTTATTTACGCAATACTTCGTTTTCCTGTAACTTACATCGCTACGTTACTTTACAAGATCGTCAGTGAAAAGCTTCAACTGAAAATATTGCCCAAATCGCTATATCGTGTTTTGAAAAAAAACGTAAGAATGTCAAAGACTGTCGTTTTAAACAAAGTTTATTGTTATAACTCAACCTCAAGAACTTTACCGATGGGCAAAGATCAACTCTAACTAACTTATTCCTAACTATTTCACTATCAAGTTTATAGATCAACAACACTTCCAGTGCCAAGTTTATTTTTAGATACTCAATGAAAATTAAAAACGCATGTTCTAATATTTCATTCCTTATCTGAAACTTGAAACTGGTAAGCTATGGTAACTTTCACAAGTGTTTTCAATGGATCACAGAATCAACCAGTCAAATGTAAATATAAACAGATATTAAATTAAATTTAAGAACTCATGAAAATAACTAAACAGAACAAATCACCTTAACTTATAATTCCCACAACATAAGTGCAGTTTTATGGTGATTTGTTTCCCTTCGTATGTACAGAGATTAAATATTTGGTAGTAATATTGTAGGAAACCAAGTAACATACGTTTCATTTGTATGTTCGAGGATATATTTTTTAATATCTGTGTAGAATAAAATGTATCCGAGAAAAACCTGAATGAAGCTCTTTCCATGTGTACCCAGTTCTATAAGAGTTCGTGTGCAAGTTTTTTTCTCCCCAGTCGTACAAAATAAGTATTTCTAATGGTTTCAATTAATTAGAATTAATAAACGAATACATTATATTGCTTTGTAAAGGGCTAATCTAAATCATTGATCACAAACATGACCTAAAAAGATGTGTGGTTACCTTCATTCTAACACAAAATCGCAATATGAAGGAGGCTAGTGATTAACATGTCAGGCTGTGAATCCCAGGGTTCAAGCCGTGATTGTGCTGATTGCTCTTGTAGCGGTAGATGTTGCTGATTGGCTGTGTTTATTCTAGCTGTTAGTTAAAAATTATGGATGGAAATTCCTAAACCTGTTCTGGTTCACATGAAGTACTGTTCTAGCTGACATGAAGTACTGTTTTAGTTCACAAGAAGTATTGTTCAGTTTTCAAATTTCAATTCCGCAACATGACATTGTATTCAACATATACTTCCACAGAACTCCAAGTTTCCCGTTTCCTTTCGACTGATGGTAGTGATTATAGTAAACCTAACTCTACATACTGATAAAATTAAGAAGTTAGCAGCATAAATGGACAAACAAGACTCTAAAATAATCTACCTGCAATAGCATATCATGTCAGAGAAGACCAACAATAACGTGGAATAATTCTAAAATAATGGAATATGAACCACAAACAAGAAAAATAAAATATATTTTACATTGATCTAACTAACAACACACCAGTTAAACTTGCACAAAAGTCATAAGAAAATTGGCTAACCTCTCCTAAAATCATTGATATTGTTAAGTGAAAGAAGCTCTAACGAGTGAATAACAAGAACACCTAGGATGGAATTTCGACGCCTACTGCTAGAATAAACGTCTTTCTCAGAACTCCTCTGAAAAAGTAGCAGATTAGCAACAGAAACACACAATATATACTAGCTAGTAATTATTATCTTATTGAAGTAAGCTGAACGTAGAGACTACAAACTGTGACAACGATTGAACGTTATATTAGATATCTTGGAGTTGTTTATGGTAGAACTCTGAAAAAGGGTATAACCAAATTTAAACAAAACGACTCAAAATTTTAAACAAGAACTTTGTTAAATACTTTCTATGGAAAAATTAGGCCCATAACGATAGAGATAAGCATAATCAGGAGATTTGGCTACCCAACATTTGTCGGTGTATGCTACAGGTGCAGGGAAAGTATATATTAATAAGGACTGAAAGAAAATTCTAGAATAAAATTTATATTTACCAGTCCGCATAACTGTTCTGTCGTGATAAACATTACTCTTATAATGAATCATTTTAAGATCTAATTTTACTGTAGAAATTTGTTAATTGTTGTAATACATCATAGGTACATCCAAAATGTTTCATCATCTTTTATGCTTCGTGAGCTTATTTATTCATTTAAAATAAGTCTAGACAATTCTCAAAGAAGTAAAAACATGTCAACAAGAGTGATAAAATGCATCATGTTTTATAACCACGTCATTTATTGTTTACTTTATCTTAGATACATACAATAAAAAAATAAACTTTATTTCTGTAAACTTCTGCATGAAAATAGTTTCTCATATAAATTTTTGCCATCTAGATATCAGCGAAAACTTTTCTAATGACGTGAAATAAATAAATATTTAGAGAAAAGTTTATCTGCACATGCAGTATATGTATATGTTTGAAATAATGTGATGCCAACATTTTCATAATCTAGAAACAAGACACTTCGTCTGTTGCTTCAGCTATGCAAGTGGCCACGGTTCGTACTGTTTGTTTGTTAAAAATGTATTGTAAGATAGTACAGACTATAACCACACATGTATGTTATACTAGTGAAAATCGCGTGACATGATACGTAACAGACATCAATCATGAACTCCTTTATCAGTTATTTTTCTTACCAGATGTAGAGATCAGGGTTTTGCCATACATAAACACAAAATAGACACTATGAACAAATAATTAATATTTGAGTAACAAATGTAGATTTTTCGATAATCATATAGTTTATCTTAATCAACCAAAGGGAATTTTAACATTTCAGCAAAAACGTTTCCACATGAAAAATCAACAGGCGGACAAAAACACAGACGAAAATACAACACTGAATGATAATACAAGCACTTACTTGAAATTTAAGTTTTTAAATGAGAAGTGAACTTCTACGATGCCCGTAGTTTTAACTCTCGTTCTCAGGATATCTTGCTCTGTAGGCATGTAATCTTTTTTACCGAGTCGTTCTAAATCGTCTAGAAAACTTGAAAAATAAGACAATGGGCATTTCAACTACAAGATCAATATATACATACACAGAAAGAAGACAAAAATTGGTTTTTAAAGAATCTTGCATTATGGAATATTATAAATATGTGCAACTTTAGAAATATATCATACATTACTTTATTAATTATTTGTAAAAGATATAAGAACTTTTAAGCTTATAATATAATTTTCGAATACCATAAAAAACAGTTGGCTTTCGCTGCTGCTATTTCGACATGAGCAAAACTGAAATTAAAAAAGTCATGAAGACAATTTTTATTCCGACCAATAGAAGCCCGTGAGTTAATGGTTTATGGACAGAATATAATGGAAACCCACTCAGTTTGTTATAGCAAAACTAATACTTGAAAAAACGAAAATAATATAAGAAATTGGATATTTAAAAAAAACGAAACGAATTTGTTGCTTAAAAAGAAGACGTGATTTGTACAAGTACTGTGGCAGAGAGTATTATCCTGCTAACCAAAAGAATCCGTCATGGCCTATGGAGGAACGTGTTCTTATTAAGGTTTCTTGATATTCATAGATGGTTCACAGATAGTGCGCCATTAATGGGCGGAGGGTGTGCCTCGTGGTTAAAATGCCGGAATGTGAATCCGAGGGTTCACGGTTTGCGTTCCTTTATCGTAAAAAACAACAAGTTTTTCGCAGTTTGGGCTGTGTGTGCGCCATAAGAGTGGCAGTCAAACATATTGAAAATAGTAATATTAATAGCAATTATAATAAAACGTAGTCATGAGTTATCCCTATCTGTAGGTACTATGAAACCTGTTCCAAATAGAGCTGTAATTACATCACGGAAAAAAAAATCAACGTAATATTTGTAAATGTACCGCAGTAAAACAAAGCCAAAGATACATACACATAGATACATGCATCTATCTATAAATATATTCCGAAACAAGTTTATTGTCATATGTGGGGCTTGAGCAGAGAGGTTAACCTGAATGCATTAGTTGTTTGGAACTAAATATGAACCAAGATAGGAAACTACGCTTTCTTTCCTTTAGATGTAACGTCATTACAATACAACTTAGTAAAAGTATTATTGCCCCCTCCCCAACCCTGATGACTCAATGGTAAGTCTGAGGGCTTATAACATTAAAAATTCTATTTCTATAGTCTCGATGGGGAAAGCACAGACAGACAGCCCATTCTGTAGCTTTGTATTTAACAACAAACAAAATAATGAATTATTAATTTCTATAAAAGTAAACCGAAGTTATCGAACTTTAAAAGAATAATAAAAATATTTTATAACTGCCATAAAAAATATCAGGTTTTTTAAAGCTCTAGTGCATAAAGTTTAGGCCGACATCAGATGCTTTACACAAACATACTAATTCTTCATGGTTAACAGTAACATCTGTTATCAACGTTGTACGTTAAAGTATAAAAAGAAGATAGAGTGTATCATCTACGTTGCTGCCGTGTTCTGATATGGTTAGATAAAAAATGTCGAAACTTTACTGACCAGATGAGAGTTTATTTTACTGTATTTCATCTATTGCCTTTAACTTATCGTTACGCAAAGAATGGCATATCTAAGATGGTACATATACACACATTTTATACAGTTTGATAAGTGTTTTACTACTAAAAGTAATTATGAAATTGTCAGAATAGTTAGAGAAATTAAAACCATAAATTAAATTTGAATCATTTTTGCGTTCTTTGTATAAGAATACGAAACATCACAGACTGATCAGAATGTACGAAATAACATGATGCACGGCCACGTCTCATAAAGGAAATTTGAGTCATTTTTTGTGTTCTTTGTATAAGAACATGAAACACCACA